ATTACCCCTAAAGCTTAGCACTGTTATTAACATAGCTTGGAGCTCTTTTATACTGGCTTACATTATAACAGTTATCAGTTAAGAGTACTCTGTTTACATTACAGTACTCTTCACTTGCACAATTGCACTGTGCAAAGGAAAGGATACTGTCTTTGCTATGCTTTTTATGTTCTCTTCTTTCGTGGAACACATGGTAGCTCCTTTCGTTCGTGGCCAGTTAGGCGAGTTCATTTAAAAGCAGTTTAACACCAGTTGCGCATTTATTATTCAACAGCTTAAATGTGCTTTCGCCATAGACGATGGAAATATGCTCTTTTAAATTTAATTTATGCCTTTGACAAGCAACAAGGATATTTCTCTTTTAACTTAATTTATGCCGAATTAAGTTAATATGATAACATCAGAAAGACAACCTGTTACATCGTCGTCGTAGGATTTGTTAGTATTTAAGCAAACATTTAGCAAAATAATTAATTTTGGGAACTCCTGGGGAATTCAAATGAACGTTAAATTTTAGATGAAAACATAATGTTGAAACATAAAATTTAGATTATGAATAATAAAAAGGATACATATATGCAATAATAATAACCAACTGAGATCTGAAAGCACACAGAGAAATATTGACAAAACCATACATAATAGGATAATATGATGGATGTCATATGCGTGATGAGAGATAGACTTAAAGTAAGGGAAATAGTTGGTAAGCTTTAATCCAATCTGAGTCCGGATGTGGGAATCTTGCCACTTCAATGAGACGGAGCTATAAATCAATAGGTGTTAATTTTATAAAAATATTATAATTTATAATAATAATTTTTAATTTATGATAATAATTTATATTATTATGATTATTATGATATTCAGATGTCTGAGTTGGTGAATCAGCACCTTTACTCTATTTTATCTGTGGACAATTTTAAGTCACACTAAGAATAACTGAATACGGGGCTTTATAATATAATGGATCTGATGTTTTTGTATCTGCCTGTGTTTATCAGATATCGCTGTATTTTTAGGTTGCTGAGTGTTGGATTATTGTGATTGTCAATTATATTGAACAGTTTCAGTTTATAGTTTATATATATATGATAATTTATAATAATTTAATATAATTTAAATAATTTATTGCATAATAAATTTAATAATAAAATATTTATATATAAGGGTTTTGTAACCAACTCAAACCTGAGAGCACATACAAGGCAATGATTGAAAAACCCTAACACAATACGATAGGTATTACGATACGATGACGAAATTAATGTAATGTAATGTAAGTGTGAAGATAAGAAGATAGTTGGGAATAATAAAAATAGAAAAATAGTTGGGAACTCAGACTTAGTCCAAGTAAAGCAATCTTGGCACTTTAAGGGGACGGAGCCATCAATCCATAAGGGTCGAATTTGTAAGTTGATTCGAATGAAAAATTTGTAATGTCATAAATCATAGTTGGATCATACGTTCATTACTTAAAAAAAAACTAAATGAGGCGTAATTTATTCCTAACGAATTCAGCTAGAGTTCTGTTAAAAACTTTATTACGAAAGAAAATATATGTAGGGTGTCCATAATCCGTAATCCATATCCCAAAATTTGTTTTAAAAAACCATGGTTATAAAATGCGATGTGAAGAAAATGTACTTTCTTACCATGTGTAATCTGTAAGAATATAACGTCCAAATGTGAAGCGCAAAGTGCCCTTTTTTCATAAAATTGACCCCGTGGCAGTAGTGCCATTAGAGCAAATAAGAAAAAATTGTTCTAAATGATATACCTCAATTTGATTGCCAGCAATTTTGGAGAACTGGAAAAAGGTGATCGGTAAAGACGTTTGCAGATCGCTATCGCAATACAAACTCTGCCACAATAGTTCAAGAAAGGATTGTTACAGCGCTGAAAACATCGATCAATTTAGATATATTGATTTCCTTTCCAAGATTTTTTCTTATTCCCACACTACAAAGATAAACTGCGTGGGCTATAATTTGGTGCTCTGAAGAAATCGTTGAAGAACAAGTGTTATAGGGAGCTGTCTCAGCAAAAATAGAGATAATGCTATATCGAATATTTGGGATGCATGCAGCTATATATGGATCATAAAGAGGAATATATAAAATAATTAAGAAAATTATTTATACACATATTGCTGTTAAAATTTATATTAACAAATATTTAGTATAAAATATATATTTCTTAACCGATTTCGTGTTTTTTTCAGTGTTTAGTATTTATACATGATATTTGTTTGGTATTATTAATTTATATCTAACAAAATTCTAACTCATTTTGGTTACTGTTAATTCTTTTTTAGAAATTAAATACTTTACAGACTTTATCATGGGTAAAAATTTAAACAAACTTCTTAAAGGATATCCTTATTCCCGTCCTTTCCTGTGATAATTATTTTCATGTAGACACATTATCACTACATGATTTCTTAATATGCATAAAAACATGCTTATTTATTTTAATTAAATTTATTTAAAAAATAAATATTTTGATTTTTTTTTAAATTTTTTGTTTTGAAGTTTCAAGTTAAACTTTTTTTTTTTGTGATTGTTTTAACTTTAATTCTTAAGCGAGTATTTCGGTTTGTCTGTTTCGTTACTGATTGTCTTCCAAGATTTATAGTTTCTTCATTTCATGCATTATTATCTTTTATTGATGCCGTGCATAATATACAAAAAAAAAAAAATAAAAAAAAAAAAGATACAAACAATTCGCCAAACCTTGGCCTTGAGGCCCTTAAATGGGAGCCAGTCTTTAGCCAGTAGGCTAGGCTTTTACTTCTCTTTTTGGCTTTGTATCTTTGCGCAGCTCTGCCTGTTGAGATACTCGTACTTCAAAGCCTGTTTTACGCTTTGCTGCGTTTTAGCCAATTATGAAAACAAAGAAATTAAGAAAAAATCAAAAAAAAAAAAATTAAAAAATAATGAAGATAATAATAATAATGTGTATCAATTTATAGGAACAAAAATGAAGCAAACCTTAAATAAACCAAAATGAGAAAAAGTATATATACTAATACAGATATTTATGTATATTTATATAGTAACTTTTTTAATACGTACTAGTGTTTAAGTTAAACGTGATTTCTAAAAATAGAAAATAAATAAATAAAAAAAAATGAATTTTTTTTGAAATATTAAAACAAAAATTATACTTTTAAGCAAAATAAAAAAAAAAAAATAAAGATGTACAAAATATTAAATATACGAAATTAAATAAAATGGAATAAAAAAAAATTTTGAATGGGGAAATTAAAATTAAAATAATATAAAATATAATTAAATAAAATAAAATAAACCAAAAAAAATTAAATCCAATGCAATAACTTAAAATAATGTAAAATAAAATAAAGCAAAATAAATGCAACGAACTAAACTAAATTTAAATAATATGTAATAAAAAATTATTAAAAACAAAATAAATTTTTTAAATAAATTAATAAAAAAAAATACCAGGAAAAAGTTGCAACATATTTGCAAACAAATCGAAATATGTTATTTAAACAATCATTTAAAAAATAAAATTGTTTTAGAAATGCAAAAAACAATTAAATGAAATACAATTCAGGAAAAATAAAATAAAAAAAAAATAATAATATTTTATATTATAATTTAAAACATTATGAAATAATTAATTCAAATGATATGAAATAAAATAAAATAAAATAAAATAAAATAAAATAAAATAAAAATAAGATATTATATGTTATTTTAAAAAATATAGTTAAATATAGGAAAAATAAGATAATAAAAAAAAATAATATTTTATATTATAATTTAAAACATTATGAAAAAATTAATTCAAATTATATGAAATAAAATAAAAGAAAATAAAATAAAAAAAACAAAATAAAATAAAATAAAAATAAGATATTATATGTTATTTCAAAAAATATAGTTAATTTTTAATATAAAATAAATAATTGAATTAAAAAGAAATTAAAGTTTATACAATAATTTAAAACAACATAAAACAAAAATACAATTAAATAAAATTAATTCAAACTATAAATTCATTTTTAAACTGATGTCCTTTATTTCATGGACAGACATGAAAATCACTATTTACATTGTATGTCTACAAATAAGGCAATCATTAATATATATATATATATCTATATTATAATATATATATATATATATATATATATATATATATGTATATCATTATATATGTATATCATTGTATATCATTATATATATATATATATATATCATTAAAATGTATATATCATTAAAAATGACTTTATTGTTTTTTAATATATTTCTCTTTATGATATATAAACTTCTACAAGCATTTAAACCGTTTCTCAATTACGTTCTCTCCTTTCCCCTTGAGACGTAATAAAATTTTTAGACTCAACTAATGTATTAGCTCAACTATCATTGCCGACGAGAACTATACACCTTTGGCGATTGGTCTATTTTCATTTTTCAAACTATGTTTTCTTACAAACCAATAAAGATCTTCTAATAAACTATGATTTGTGAATATTTGATTGATACATTGGAGATATGTAATCGAAGACTGAGTAGACTACATACATACAAGTCAAGATCTGGATAATCCTCAGACAGTGACCGGTTTCTTTTTAATGATTTATTTCTAGAGCATACATCCAATAAATCTATTTTGTTTTATTAACTGACAAATCATATACTTATCCTTTAAGATATCATGTTACAAATAATTTATTGGAATCATAAAAAATTTCAAAATCATAAACGAGTAACTCACAAACTTCAACTGAATTCGTAGAATAAATAAGTCAGTTATTCAAAATTTTCAAGGAGTCAAGGAATTTCTTTGAAGAAAACGGTTCATCGGAATACAACTAAAGAAATTAAGCTAATAAAAAGCATTCGCTTACAAATGCTATTAGTATCCGTAAATGTAAGTCAGGCAGGCACTTTAACAAATCGGAAGGACATCTTAAGTGGCGGATAAATAAACTTTAAAAATTTGTACTATGCTAAGTGGATCGAATGCTGGGCGCAGAAGTGTGGATGAGGTTGTTGCAAAAGGACGATAGAGCAGCCGTTGATGGAATTATATTCAAGTGTACATTGCTGATTAACATAACGAAGACGACTTTTACCGTTGATGCTGATGTTACTGTTGTTGATGGCTATGACGATGACGATGACGATATGACGTTAACGTCAACGTTAACGGCAACGTCCACCTAACCATTTACAACCTAACCATTTACAACAACGATAATGATGTCGGTCGTTGATGTCTATGATGATAAGTGCTTCAATTTGAATGATGTGATTGAATGGAATTTGCTTTATTACTTTAGTAATCATATGTAACATGCTTAATCTGAGCCATTAGCAGGAAAGAACCAAACTAAATAAAATAAAAATAGAGAAAATAAGTTTTAAAAAAATTAAAAAATAACATCAAATGTTGATGTTGAGTCCATTGCAGTGCTTGAATTAAATAAGTGCTTTTGGGTGGTACAGAATCTCGTAATGATTAGTCGCAGTTACGTTATTCACTCTTGACTTATATATTCATGCACCTTCGAATGGTAAAGGGTACGAAGTGCGGGGCAACTAAGCCATTAATGTGCTATTTTCATTGAAATTATTATGCAAACCGTTTTTTTTTTCACTTTATCTGCTTGAATGCAGCACATTTGTGCATATATTTTACCACTAAACATGCCACTATTTGCTGCTGCAAATTCAAAATTGGTTGCAACTAATTTGAATTCAGTACTGCTTCCCTCCGTACGACCATGATTTCTGCGACGAGTACTTGTTGAGGATGCGGATACAGCGGAGTACGAGTGTAAAATATAGAGAAAAATAAATAAATAAAGCAAGTATTGAGCTTAAATGGAATTCACTTGTGAAGAATTTGAAAAATGTTGCCCCACCAGACTGACGCGGTTAAGTTTTGCTCTTCATAGCTTCTTTCTTGTTGTTGTGCTGCTGTTGCATTTAGTGCTGCTCTTCTGGCATGTTGTTGTTGTTGTTATTATTGTTGTTGTTGTTGTTGTAGTGCTGCAAAAAGGCACATTATTGTTGGTTGGTTGATTTGTTGCCTGTTTGGTTGCTAGTTTGTTAGTTGCGATATTAAATAAGAGATATACCCGTTTTCGTAACTGCTGTCTTGACTGACTGGTAAGGAGGTTAAGGTGACGCGGCAGGAATCGCTCCTAAACTTGTTTTTATTTGCGGTCTAAATACTCTGCGTTTGAATTGCAGACATTTTTGCTATTCAACTGTTCGCAATTTTCAGATAATTTATTTTGTATTGGCACCAATTTTAATGTGGGATTCATATTTAGTAAAAATTTCCTAAAATGGAGTATTTTATCTGTATTTATAACATACGTAATAGTATGTCATTTCGCAATGTTTTAAGAAAACAGTAAATTGTTTTTGATATTCTGACTTATAGGCTTTACAAAGAGTCGCTGACTAAACATGTTTAAAGTTAATCGTCTAGTTAAAATTATCTTTTGATCAATGAAGTATATTGTTAAGCCTTATCCGAGTTAGTACATCTGGGCACTTTTACTCTTTGATAGCTGGGTGATTTCTTCAGAGTCCCACCCATCTCACTGACTAATTTGTGTATTCCTCATAATCTTCGTGATTATTCAATGACTGATCTAAAATCTGCGTACAGCCCCGTGCGGTTAGTAATTACTCTGAGATAAGATAGTGCTAAGTAGGGCAGCGATCAATGACATGGAATCTATGGTATCATAAGAGGTTACTATATGTACTCAAATGAGCTATGGTGTTCAAGGTCGCTACTTCAAATTAATCTAAATTAATGGTATGGAATTATACCATTATTTATAATTTTTAAATCAACTTTGTAGGAACAAAAGAATATTAATAGTTACACTCTGTACAATCCTATTCATATCTAAAAAATTTTCACTCCTTCTGATAATAGGTTCAAAATTGTCAAAGAAATGGAATGCTTTGGATCTTGTGATATCCGTTAAGATGTATAAAAATCCATATCCCAAAAGCTTTTGACACACTCTTAAAGTAGTTTATATCGCATTAAAAGCTGCAAAGAAGAAGAATGCGTTGGATACTATGATATCTGTGTAGATCTATAAAACTGCATATCCCAAGAATTTTTGCTTCTTTCAATAGTAGTCCATTGATCCACACTTTTGTAACATAAGCGCATTTAATATTAACTATATTTGACATCGGCTGCAGTCGAGGACTTTGAGTCCTGAATATAAATGCAGTAACATCCTTTTCGTAACTATACCTTTATAGCAATCAAAATTTGCAAGGCTTCACTGTTTTAGGGTCTTAATATTCAAATAGTTAAGTATCGAATAATGAGCGAAGTAAAGTAAGTTCCATTATATAATCAGCGGAAGCGATATGTGTTCAGTGTCTGTTATAACCTTTTCACACGATAACAGTAGTTAATCTTTATTAACTATTGATCTGACTTAAATTGTCGTTGTTTGTCCTAAGAACTGGAAAAAGATTTCAGAAACTGATTTTTGTGTTTCAGTCTTGCAATTTTCAGGCTTTCTAAATATTGTAGATGTCTTTAGAGCATGCAACTCGACGACCTTCAACTCGAGGTTAGTACTGAATTGTCTTACATCACTTATGGTGATGGCTGAATATTTTCGGATATGAATTATTTGGGTTCCTGGATATAGGGACATCCAAGGCAACTGTATAGCAGATGAATTAGCAAGACATGGTACGACAGCACAAATTCTTCTGAGAAAAGAAAGTGTGGGTATACCCGTTGCTTCTTGTCGGCACCGAATAAAATTATGGACATACCAAATGTTTGAAAGAAGATGGTCAACAGTAACCAACTGCATAAAACCCAAGGAATTTTGTCCAAAAATAAGTAAGAAAAGATCGGGGGAATTAATCAACCTATCCTGAGCAAATTTATCCAGGATAGTGAGAATTATTACGGGACACTGCCCGTTGGGAGGACATGCCGTGAGGCTTAACATCAGGACCTCCTTACATTGTAGGCATTGCATGGAGAATGATGAAGAAGAATCACCAACACACCTTCTGCTACAGTGTCCTGCCTTCGCAAGACATAGGATATCCTACTTAGGGTCGCACTTTTTCTATTCACTAAGAGAGGTAGATTCTATTTTCACAGCTCGTGTCAATGGCTTTGTAGCCAATACCAAGTGGTTATAGGGACAGGTGTCAAATTCTTTAGAGTATCACAATGGACCTCATGGTCTAAGTGAGTTTTCAGACGGCCCCAGTAACTTAACCTAACCTAACCTAGAGCATGCTTTGTTCTGTTATACCATATTGTTCTAATAAAACTACACGTTTCATTTTTCATATATTTCTCTCAAATGTACGTAGTTGATGTCCGAAAAGTATCACTAATTTTGAAATTAATTTTATTATTGAGATCGTGATTTTTTTTTTGTCGTGTGAATAGACTAAACTAATTTAACCAATAAAATTCACAGCTTACGTGTTAAAACTTATTAACTGTTGATGTGAATTAAATTGTTGTTGTACTGATGTTTTATATATTGAAAATATATTTCAGAAATTAATTTTCGTATATCTTTCTTGGTCCTTTTTTTAGAGAATATTTGGAATTCTTTTCCAGGCTTTGCTATTCAATACAATTTTATTCTTATGTTTCTCTCAAACAGTTGCTTCTCGAAAATTGTCGCCAATTTTAGAATTAATCTTGTTTCTGAGAGCGTGATTAATTTTTGTCATGTGAATGAGCTATTAAACTCATTTAAACGACCATATTTATTCAAATAAAAAAGGTAAATATTAAAATTTATATATTTTGAATGAAAACTTTTAAACAATTATTTATATTTTAATACTTAAATATTTCAACAATAAACCAAAATAAATTATCTTGGGAATATTATATATTTTGACACTTGTCAAGTTCATTAAAGCAGAATTATTAATCTCTTGTATTTCTTAATGAATGTGTTGCTGCTGTTGCGATAGTCAGTTGTCGAGTTCATGGTCAATACAAATCTGAAAAGATCTTAACTGATTCGCTATAAATTAAATGTTTAAATAATTGAATATGTGTTGCAGTTGCAGTTGCATTTCGGCGTAATTTGCATTGCATTTCCTAAACGAAATCATGCAACAAATAATGTTGCAATGCTTCGTTGATTTCACATGAAAGTTGAAATATATCTAGCTATGCTTTTATTCTCTTATTTTTTCTATGATATTATTTTTTTTAAATTTAATTTATTAATAATATATATAAATATACACATAGAGTATACAAAGCTAGCTTACCATATAAAGTCTAGTAAAGCAAAAACTTTAAGTGTATGAAATCAAGTGCAGCGAGTACTTGTAGTTCTAGCAACAGACAGACAACAGCAACAGCGGAATATGCTGAGTCTTGGCTTTGGTGGAGACTCAGCAAACTTGGCTGGTTGATAGTAAAACTGTATTAAGTAAATAACCCAATGTGGCTATAAAATTCGTCGCGTCGCTGCACAGACTATGACCGAGAACTTGCGCCTTACCTTGTCTTGCCTGCCTGCCTGCTTGCCTGCCTGCCTGGTTTTGTGTTGGTTGGTCTCGGGCTTGTCTTGAGTTAACTCAGTTGGCTGGCTGGCATGTCGTGGACGTTGTTGCTTTATAATTTTTGTGTTTAAATTTATTCTTTGTTGTTGTGCTGTTGTTGTGTTTTTTGTTTTTTTTGTTTCTGTATCTTTCATGTTGCATTGGTGATCACTCAGCTATGCAATTGCATTCTGCACAATCGACTCCCTTTCGTCCAGACTTATGAACTGAATTCACTTCTTTTTCCATTGTTGCTTTTGCTTTGCACTGTACTGGTTCCATTATTTGAACTTGCTGCTTCTTGGTAATCGACTAGAAACTTCTTTGCTTGTTGCTTGAAACTGCAATGCAACAGATTTACTTTTCATACAATATTTTTTTTTTTTAATAATTATTTTTTGTGAATAATTTTTTTTTAATATATATTTTTTTTATATTTTTTTTGTAATATTTTTTGCCAATGTTTCTTCCTTTCCGACCAAATCAATGCTGCCACACTAAATAAGTTAAAATCAAAACCAAAACCCATGAACTTCATTATGCCAACGTGTTGCCGCGACCAATGCATTCATGTTGGTAATTGTTTTCATTGTTGCTGTTATGATTGTTG